CGGGGTTGGTGGGGATGAGTGCATTTGGGGGAAGTAGTAGAGGAGCGGGATACACAGCTTGTGGGATAATCTGAGTGTAGTTGGGGATAGTTGAGGTGATAGTGGAGGTGGATAAGAGGGGTTTTGATTGGGGGGGGATGGTTGATGACTGTGTGACGGTGGGGGTTTTCGCCTTGGGCGAGAGGGGAGGTGGAGTGGCCACGGTGGAGGTAGTGGTGGATGAAGATGGCGGTGATGTTGATGTGGAGGTTGACGCGGAGGCTTGTCCGGAGGAGGGGGTGGTTTGGGGTGTGGAGGAGGAGGGTGTGGTCGTGGTGATGACCGTGATGGTGGGGGTGTTTCCCTCGAGCGTGGTGACACGGTTGGAGATGGCGGCCATGGTGGTGTTGATGTTGTCAAGGGAGGATTGGAGGGCGGTCAACGTTCGGAGGAAAGTTGCAAGTTCCGGGGTGGTGGTGGTCGAAGTTGGCGGATTGCCTGCGAGTTCGCGGGCAATGCTGTCGACGGAGTCGGAGCGACGATCAGACATGTTGATGGATGATTGAGCCATGTCGGGGGAAGAGGGGGTGGAGGACGCAGTCGGAACAGATGTGGAGGATGCAGCAGCAGCAGTGGCGGCCGCAACAGCAGCGGTGTCGGCGTCGGCGCGTTGGGAATTCTTGGCTTGGCGTGGTGGCATGTGGGGATGGGGGGACACAATTTCTTTATCAATAAATTCAAAATAAGGATAATTGCCAAGATTTTGAAGGGAATAAGTTTGGGGGGGAAGGGAAAGTAGGAATTAATTTTGAGTAAATAAATTTATTATGACTTGGAATTTTATTTATTCGAAATTAATTCAAAATATGGGTAGAAGTTCCGTAGAACAAAATTTAGGAGAAGAGATATTTGAAGACGTAATTAATTTAAAAAAAATAGATTCTGATTTAGATTTAAATTTATTTACAAGAAAATGTGGAATTTCAAAAGAAAATATTTTGAATTACGAAAAAAAAATAAAAAAAATTCGTTGCAATTTGGGAATAAATAATCCGAAAAGAAGTTCGAAATAGGAATTAATTCAAATGAATTTAAAATTCAGAAATGGACTAATTAATTAAAGGAATTTCAAGAAAAATTCAGAAGGAATTATGAGTATATATAAAAGAGATTAATGCTAGAGTATTCAAGGAATTTCAAAGAGGAAAAGGAAATTCTGATTGATTAATTTCAAAATATTTCAAAGAAATTGCAAATGCGAGGCCACTGCCTCTATGAGCCTCATTCAGCCCCTTTTGGAGAGCCTCATTCAGCCCCTTTTTGGGAGCTTGTCGGGCGCCCCAAGTGAACGCAGGCTCGACGAGGCCCCTCAGGGCCTTATTTCGGCCTCTGCGCAACTCAAGGAAATTCAGGSAGTTGCGCAGCGCCAGTTGGTCGAGTGAACCCAGGCCCTGGGCCGCCTGTGTGAATGTATGTGAACCAGGCCCTGGGCTGGATACGGGTACTGGGCCAAACACAGGCCTAAGGCAGTTGGGCACATGCAACCACCTCAGGCCCAAGGCCTGTTTTCGTCGAGTTGGGCCTCAGGCTACCGGGGCATACTGGAAGCTTTCTGGGACTGCACGCAGGCAGGCCACTTTGATATAGCAAAGGGCCTGCCTCCGTATTCGGCATTCGGGTGCTGGCTGCATGCTGCGCAAGCGCTGCTGCGCTATTTGCTGGCTGGCGCCTACGCTCTCACGGGCGAGCAGGGAAGGAGCACGCAGCCATAGCCGAGTTGCGCTGCTGTAAGCTGGGTGAAGCACAGGGTGGTCCTTGGGTGCTAGTGGCATCTGTGTGTTGGGGAACGAGGTTGTGAGTGTAGCGAGAGACATACCTGGTGCTGGAAGCGTGCGACATTGGTCGCCAGATGCTCATACTTCGGGAATGCTGTTGACGTCATCTTTCGGCATCGTAGTGTAGGCTAGATAGGATCTGCCACATGTAGTCTGGGCGCCGAGCGCCAGATAGGATATCAACTCTGGTTCTTCGTTGATGATGATGGGACTATTTCAGCATTGNAGATAGGATCTGCCACATGTAGTCTGGGCGCCGAGCGCCAGATAGGATATCAACTCTGGTTCTTCGTTGATGATGATGGGACTATTTCAGCATTGCCAATTATGAACTCTTGGTGTGTTCTTATTTGGTGAATCTCGTGATGCAATTCTGCTGTTGGTTTGAGGTCACGACTATCTGGACTCATATGTATGATGTTGTTTGATTGCTGAAGTTCGCTATTGCTTATCTTCCTTGCAATTTGGTATCGGAGCTGTGGTACGAATGCGCTCATCTGGCGCTTGTCTTCTGCCTTATGCGGTACATACATGCAGTCTGCTGGGCGAGTTTGGTCGTAAGTGGTGTGTAGTGAGGAGGGTGGAGACAAGTGTATAGGCGACCCAGGAGGTGAGGGGATCGCCAGGAAGGTTATGTGGGGTTATTGTGGTCTGGACAGTGTGATTAGAACTATCTAATGTGCGATTGATGCTGAGCTGGAACGACAAGATAATGCTGGTTGTGCCGATGCAGTGACTGGTCATCGCAATCGCCATTTGGTCATCTGGTGAGATTATCTCTGTGGTTGGGGGCAGCTATTTGAGGTACGTTGCTCTTAACCTTATCTACCCTCTCCGACACTTTTTACCGTGAGATTGTGTGTTCCTTCTTGAGAGTCCTCTCATTGTAAGGTGTCGAGTGCGCTCAACCTTGAGAGTCGGCAATGTTCACGTGGAGCATCTGGGAGAAGATGGGCGGAACTTTCTGAAAGGGCCCTGGACGAAGCACTGGGTCACGATCACCATGCCAACCCACAGGGAGTAGAGCACGCATGCCTTGCTGCTTGTCCTTTGTTCGGCTGTTGCGCTGTAGATGGGTACTGATGGGCAGGCCAGCCGTTGAGGGAGATGAGACCGGGCGTCTTTAAATAAGCACCGGAAGGGGAACCATTGGCTGTGATCGTCGTCCGGCTGTGACGTAAAAGAATTCTTGGAGTTACTTGGGGGCGGATGTTAAATTGCCTCTGGATCAGCCAATGGTTGTAAGGCTCGCTGCACGGGAGGATAATCCAGTGCAGGGCTGGCCAGCTCAGCAGTTACTCGGGGCACAGGGGTGGGTCGGACACACACCTTTAGACATGTGACGCTCTCTAGATTGCTCAGGGACGTTGACGTCAAGTGATACTAAGGGGAACTAAGGGAGGGGTTGATTCCAGGTGATAAGTTCGAGAAAATTCCATGCTGTCCTATCCACACAAATGATTCTTGTTTTATGTTTTGATTAGTTAGGTGTACAACCATTGACATCTGACAGACAACATTAGTTAGAACTGTTTATTGTTCCTGGTGCTTCTGTTTGCGGACTAGTCAAACTAGAAATAGATTCGTTTGTAGGAACCTGGACTTACCTGTTAGAACCCGAATGTATCTGCTCCGGAATAGTCACCAATTAATTATTTATTTATTTTAAATTGGTTTGTGCACTCTATTGCGGTAGGCATCTTGAGTGACCTAGTGTAGACGTTGCACAGTGCTGTAGCATATGAGCGACAGGGAGGACACACCACTAGACAACCGGATCTTGCGATCAGCTAGACGCCCGATAGCCCACGTGTCCTTAGGACCGGAGGGCGATAGGATTCTGTTCCGCCAGCTTAGGGAGAGGCAGCAGCAGCGGAGGATAGCTAGAGCAGCTGAGGCCAGCAGGGCTTTCTCTAGTGAGGCCGCTGCTACAACAGCCATGGCCACTTCCGCTATGGTCACTTCTGCGCAGCAGACTTCCCAGGCCAGCAGTTCAGGTATCGTCGGGTCAACGGTCGTGCAGACCGTGAGTCAGTCCACTGGCGTTATGGCAAGCGAGGCATTGGTGTTGACCCCAGAGGATGTCGCCATCCAGCAGGCAGCCCTGCAGGAGGCACAGCTACAGCGGGCATTAGGAGAGATAAAAGCAGAGAAGGAGAAGATGATTAGAAGAAGAGCCAGGATGCAGCGGAGAGGGGAAGACATAGAGGAGTTAGAGACGATGGACCTGACGCACATGGATGATGACGTGAGGGTAGTTAGGAAGGCCCTGCTAGGAGTAATAGATATGCAGGAGCACCAGACTACCATCCTTCAGGATATCCAACAGAACCTAGCCGTTCTAGCAGGGCGTGCTCAGGCGGTACCATCACCAGTCGGGCCTGGTGCCTGGCCCGTGCCATATCCTCCTTTTTCTGTCCCACCGGTGACAGGGGTATCCCCATATGTAGCCCCGTCATCGGTTGCGATCGTTTCCCTGGGCATGCCGCTGTCAGGAGGGGTATCAGCAGGGACTAGTTTGCAGGTTCCTGTTCAGACAGTGTTCATCAAAACTCCGTCGCAGGTTGCCGTCACCACGCAGCCTGCTGTCTCGCAGCCTGCGCACCCGCAGGGCACACAGCCCCAACAGCTAACACAACAACCTGTATCACCGGGTCCACAACCCGGAGTGGTGCAGGGACCGGGACAACCACAGTGGGTTCCAAAGACGGCCATCGCTGCTCCGAAACCCTTCACAGGGGACAAGAGAGGAGAAGACCTCGACACTTGGTTGAGGTCAGTGCCAGTCTATGTCAGGTGTAAACTTACCTTGCCGCACGAAGAAGTGCTTGTGGTTGCTTCCTACCTAGAGGGTAGTGCAACGAGATGGTTGAGTGGTTTAGTGCAGCTCCAGGGGTAAGGTCATGACTTCCACGCTTGGGCGGCCTCCCAAAAATTGGAGGACTTCCTGAAGATGGTGGAAGAAAGGTGGCATGATCCTCAGGAGGCCCAAAGGGCCACTGATGCGATCCTGACACTGCACACGCGGCAATTCAAGTCAGTAAGGGAAGCCACCGACGCTGTTGAGCGTTTGATCTGTGTCCCAGGGGTGCTCTATGACCCTCAGCTCCTGCTTACCTCGTACTTGAGATGCTTTTCTCAACCTCTCAGAAACCAGTTGGCAAGAGAGGTCAACATCAATATGCACAACTTTCCTTTGTTAAGCAAGATGGCCCTAGACCTTGAAGCTAAGATAGGGCATGGACAGGCACCCACTACGGATGGGAGAAAGAAGACACTGCCTCCTAACTGGAAGGCGAAGGGACGCTTAATGTTTGTCGATAACGATGGTTCTACTATCGAAGTAGACGAACACTTCCAGGAAGGAGTAGGTTCAGAGGCGGAGAGCATAGAAACTTTAGAGCGTGGAGTGGTCGCTGCCGTAACTCAAAAAGGAAAGGCGACCAGTAGACGCCGTGGAGGTTCCCGGTCTAGGAGTCAAGTTGACCCCAATGCTCCTCCATTGGAGAAAGCGGGTCTCACAGAGGACGTGTGGAGAGACCGTTACTCACGGCAGGCCTGTATTCGTTGTGACCAATATGGCCACAGCCAATTCAAGTGCCGCAATAAGAAGGTGACAGAAAAGATCCCGCCTATGATCGGGCAGGTGCTGGGATCCTCTCATCCCGTTGGTAGCAACGTTGCCAGTACTTTAGGCAGTGCTCCGGGAAACACGTCGGGCCAGTAGGAATGGTAGTTGTTCCTGCTAGGGTCGAGGTGGTGGAGACACCCTCACCATCTTGAGAGATGGCCCAAGCTACTGACTCCAGCATCGTCCCACAAACACGTTCAGACCCATCGAGCCTCGGTTCAATGAATGTGTTTGAATCCTTAGAGGAGCTAGAGGTGGAGTGGTCTAGATCAGACCCGCTAGCTTCTTGGACGGCCCTAGTCAAAGCCCCTAAGGGTGAGATGTTCGTCAGCGAGGTTGTCATTGGCGGCCGCAAGGCCGGGGCCTATTATGACACTTGCTCGACACGAAACTTTATTAGTCGCGCGTGCGTTGAGAGGCTGCGTTTACGGTGGCGAGTGCAGCGCCTGAGTCGACCTGTGGAGTCGACCTGTGCCAACAAACAGCGCATGGTAGTCAATGACTACCTCCAGGATGTTGAGTGTTGTTTCCCGTACGCGGGAGGGGACCTGAGACATCGCGTCTCGTTCCTACTGAGTGACGAGCTCCCAATGGATATGTTACTAGGACCGAAAAGTGGTCAAACACACTTTGCTAGGTGGAGGGACCGCCAGATTACATAAGTTCAAAGCTAGTAGTCTGATTGAGTCCTATGGGTGCATGTGTGCGGCCGCGTTCTACAATTATTACAAGCAAAATCAGGAGGAGGGTATATATTTAGTCTCTGTCTCTGCTGCAGGCGAGCCGGTGAAAATGCCACCGGAGATAGAGGGAGTAGTTGCTAAGTACCCTGATCTATTTGAAGAGCCGACAGGGGTTGTTGAGAGGGAAGTCGCCCACACGATAGAGATTATCCCAGGGTCTAGTATTCTGAAGAGTAGGATCTATCGGATGTCTCCAGGAGAGCTTGATGAGCTTCGCCGCCAACTCAAGGAACTCGTAGAGAGGGGTTGGATCCGGCCGAGTGTCTCTCCTTATGGATCTCCCGTACTATTCGTACCTAAGAAGAAGGAGGGTACACTTAGGATGTGCATTGACTATAGGGGCCTCAATGCCATCACTGTAAAGAACAGAGAGCCCCTACCACGCATCGACGATCTGCTAGATAGAGTGCAAGGGTGCCGGTACTTCAGCAAGATAGATCTGAAGTCCGGGTACCATCAAATTGCAATCCGGCCCGGGGATCAACACAAAACCACCTTTCAGACCAGGTACGGTCTGTACGAGTTTGTGGTGATGCCTTTCGGTCTTTGCAATGCTCCTGGCACCTTTCAGCACGCTATGAATCGGATATTCCATGACTACATGGATAAGTTTGTCATCGTGTACCTCGATGACATACTTATTTTTAGTAAGACTGTCGAGGAGCACGTTGCACATCTGGACAAAGTCCTCAGTCTCCTGCGACAGCACAAGTTCAAGATCAACGGTGAGAAGTGCGAGTTTGGCCGCACCCGTGTCTTGTACTTGGGTCATGAGATCTTCGCGGAAGGGTTGAAGCCCGATGACGCGCAGGTGGCCAACATTCGTGATTGGCCATGTCCTCAGTCTGTGACTGAGATGAAATCTTTCTTAGGAATGACAGGCTACTATAGGACTTTCGTTAAGAACTATAGCATAATGTCCGCTACTTTGACTGATCTGACCCGCCTTGACACCCCATGGGATTGGACAGATGAGTGCGAGGCTGCTTTCAGACATCTGAAGCATGCGTTGACACACTACGAGGTCTTCAAACTTCCTGATCCTGACAAGCCGTTTATAGTTACCACGGATGCCAGCCAATATGGCATTGGCGCCGTGCTCACGCAACAGGAGGGGCCAAAGTTGAGGCCTGTAGAGTACATGTCCAAGAAAATGTCGTCTCATAAGTTGGCTATGTCTACATATGAGAAGGAACTCTATGCGGTTTACAAGGCTTTGACCCATTGGAGGCACTATCTCCTTGGGAGGTTCTTCATCCTCAGGACTGATCATCCGGCCCTGAGATGGATGAGAACTCAGCCTGTACTCTCTGACGCCCTCAAGCGTTGGATCGAAGTCATTGAGCAATATGACTTTGACCCTCAGTATCTGAAAGGGGAGTACAACAAGGTTGCTGATGCTTTGTCGCGTAGACCTGAATTCCCCGGTGCGCTGATTACTGAGTTCGATCTAACGGCCAGTGTTACTCAGTCTTTGGTGGAAGCCTATCGCGAGGATCAGTTCATGTCTGAGATCATATGCAGACTTGAGGCGAAGGACAAGAAGACTTCTGCCGAGTTTGAATTGGTCAATGGCTTGTTGTTCCTTGAGAAGGACGGGAATAAACGATTGTGTGTCCCAAATACCGAGTCTTTGTGTAGTTTGTTTTTAGGGGAGTGTCATGATGCCACCGGCCATTTTGGGTACAAGAAGACCGCAGCCAATCTGCTGCAGCGGTTCTGGTGGCCCACGATGATGTGAGACGCCCAGCTGTACTTGGAGACTTGTCAGGTATGTCAAAGAGACAAGCCTCGTACTCAGGCTCCTCTTGGACTCTTGAAGCCCCTTCCGATTCCGGAACGGCCTGGTGAGAGTCTGTCCATGGACTTCATGGATACTCTGGTCACCAGCAAGAGTGGGATGCGACACATCTTCGTCATCGTGGATAGGTTTAGCAAGTATGCTAGGTTAGTGGCAATGCCGGAAACAGCCAGAACGGAGTATGTGATCAAAATGTTCAAAGAAAACTGGGTCAAGGACTTTGGTTTACCGAAGTCTATTATTAGTGACAGGGATGTCCGGTTCACCAGCCAGTTGTGGAAGGCCGCTGCTGCAGAGCAGGGAACTCAGTTGCAGATGACTTCTGGGAATCACCCAAAGGCCAACGGTCAGGCCGAGCAACTAAACCGCGTTGTACAACACTTGTTGAGGCATTATATCAAGCCCAACCAGGTGGACTGGGATAAGAAGCTTGCTCTCATCGCCAGCTTGTACAACAACGCTGTACACAGCGCCACTGGGGTGAGCCCAAACAGCTTCCTGCTAACGTTTAAGCCTAGACTGCCCCTAGACTTTCTTCTTCCTGAGAATCAATCCACTGCTGCACCGGGTACCTTGGAATTTGCTTACCGCTATGAACAGATGCAGAAGGCGCAGGCTGCAATGATAGAATCTGAAAATAGACACCGCTGGCCTTCTACATTTCAGGTTGGGGATAGGGTCTGGGTTAAGTCTTAAGAACTGGGACAGGAGCACAGGATCTCCCGCAAACTCATGCCCCAGTACTTTGGACCCTGGGAAGTCTTGGATATCGTTGGGACAGATCCGGATGGGCCATCTTATGTTATCTAGATCCCTGGTCATCTCCGTACTTACCCTGTCTTTCACGCCTCCAAACTTGCACCATTCAAAGAAACTAATCAGTTTCCATCTCGCCGCTCAATGCTGCCCTCAACCATGGATGGAGAGGTGGACATCGATGATATAGTGGACCACAGAGAGCTGTCGGTATCAAGACCAACTGGCAGGGGACGTCCTCCGAAACCGAAGCTGCAGTACCACGTTCGGTTCCGACATCATACTGATCCGAAGGAGGACCGATGGTTTACCAGGGATGAACTCATGCAGACCGCTCCACAAGTGGTAGCCCACTATGAGAAATCTCTGCAGAAAGGAAAGCGCCCGATGGCCGAAGACTGAGCTTCTCAGAGGACTGTTGAAGCCAAGGAGGAGGGAATGTGAGGCCACTACCTCTATGAGCCTCATTCAGCCCCTTTTTGGGAGCCTGTTGGCCGCCCTAAGTGAAGGCAGGCTCGACGAGGCCCCTCAGGGCCTTATTTTGGCCTCTGCGCAACTCAAGGAAATTCAGGCAGTTGCGCAGCGCCAGTTGGTTGAGTGAACCCAGGCCCTGGGCCGCCTGTGTGAATGTATGTGAACCAGGCCCTGGGCTGGATACGGGTACTGGGCCAAACACAGGCCAAAGGTAGTTGGGCACATGCAACCACCTCAGGCCCAAGGCCTATTTTCGTCGAGCTGGGCCTCAGGCTACCGGGGCCTACTGCAAGCTTCCTGGGACTGCACGCAGGCAGGCCACTTCAATATAGCAAAGGGCCTGCCTCCTTATTCGGCATTCAGGTGCTGGCTGCATGCTGCGCAAGCGCTACTGTGCTATTTGCTGGCTGGCGCCTACGCTCTCACGGGCGAGCAGGGAAGGAGCACGCAGCCATAGCCGAGCTGGGTGAAGCACAGGGTGGTCCTTGGGTGCTAGTGGCATCTGTGTGTTGGGGAACGAGGTTGTGAGTGTGGCGAGAGACATACCTGGTGCTGGAAGCGTGCGACATTGGTCGCCATATGCTCGTACTTCAGGAATGCTGTTGATGTCATCTTTCGGCATCGTAGTGTAGGCTAGATAGGATCTGCCACATGTAGTCTGGGCGCCGAGCGCCAGATAGGATATCAACTCTGGTTCTTCATTGATGATGATGGGACTATTTCAGCATTGTCAATTATGAACTCTTGGTGTGTTCTTATTTGGTGAATCTCGTGATGCAATTTTGCTGTTGGTTCGNTTGATGATGATGGGACTATTTCAGCATTGTCAATTATGAACTCTTGGTGTGTTCTTATTTGGTGAATCTCGTGATGCAATTTTGCTGTTGGTTCGAGGTCACGACTATCTGGACTCATATGTATGATGTTGTTTGATTGCTGAAGTTCGCTATTGCTCATCTTCCTTGCACAAAATAATTTCGTAAAAATTAATTATTTTCAAGGCTCAAAAATAATATTTCAGAAGAAATTTTGAAATTGCAGAAAAGGGTGATTATTTCCGAATTAATTTCGAGAATTGATTCGAAAATAGTTGAAGCAACGAAAAAAGCAAATTCAAATTTTTCGGAAAAGGATTTAATAAAAACGTAATCAAATTGCAAAAAGGAGTTCCAAAGAAATTTGGAAAGAAATAAAAAGTATTCCAAAAAGAGATGAATTATTTAAAGAAATTGTGAAAAAGAAATTCGAAAATAATGAGCTTTCGCAGTATTAACTTCTTAGTTTCAACGTATTTCAAAAGAAATTTTGAAGGGGCTGATCGCAAATTGTTACAAAAGTATTTTGAAAACGGTTTTAGGGATTAAAGTAATTAAGAAATTAACTAATATCTGATTGATGATAAACTAAGTGGGTGGAGGGGGAGAATGGGGCGGAGTGGGGGAAGAACGTTTGCGCGGTGGGG